AAGGGCCTCATCCCCAGTGGCCGAATTACCTCCCACTAGGCCCCAATTCTTGCAAGTTCTACCCCCTCAACACTGCCACACCAAGGACCTAGCCTCCAGCCTATGAACCTTTGGGAGACAAACTACATCCCATCCTCACAAGCTCCAACAAAGCCACCAGTGTAAGAGCAGGATGTCCCAGTCTACAAGTGTGTATGTGAGGGCAGAGGAGGGTTGATATCAGAGAGCACTGGAAGCAGCCAGAGCCCCCATTCCGGAACCTCTCTGATGTCACACTTGTAGTCATGGTACTCTGGGTGCCAACCCAGGAGAAGGAGCGGTTGGCTCTCATTTGTTTGAGAGCAGGCAGCGAAGCATGACTGTATCAAACGACTTACTGTCCCCACCCCAACCCCCAGCCAGATCCTGGCTTTTCTCGAGCCCTTGGGCTTGTGTGATTGTGGCAGCCCTGGTGTCTCTGAGCACAGTATTCTTCACATTCACGTGAGTCTCTGAGTCAGCTGTCGGGTTTCTCATCAAGAGACAGATGAGAAATAGACATTGAGAGTGCAGAGGCAGGGAGGAGGAGAGAGGCCAGGAGGGGAAGGAGGATATTTAGTGAGAAGCACAGAGATGTGGGGAGCCTGAGGCTTTGGGGGGGGGGGACTGTGGGAGGATGGTAATGCTGGTGACACTTGGTGGAGGGAATGGGGTGTGTCTCCTTAAGCCTCATGGGGGCTCTGGGTTGCCCCCGACTAGAACTCAGTCTGGCCCTGGTTTCAGATGCCGAGCACTGGTGCAAAATGGAGAGTGGGTTTTTCCAGTGGCCTCAGGCCTTCTCTGCCTACTCAGTTTATATAGCCTCATTTCCATGAACATTTCAGACCCAGGCACCTTACACAGAGGTAAGGCCTCAGACCCCTGGGAGAGGGAGGTGGTACCCCAAGGGCTGGTGCCTACAGGGGCCATTTCTAAAGGGCTGGCCCTACCTGTGGCCTCAGGATCCCTTCTTACCCTGTTATCATTACTTGGGCCCTGGCACTTCATTTCCCAAGCCACTGAAGTGTGAACAAACAGAATCCTGGAGGTTTTCCAGTTGCTTTAGAAGGGAGGACCCGGCAAGAGAGTCAGCAGGCTCTTCCAACCATGCAGTTCACCCTTCCTCCTTCCCATTTCACACCCAACTCCAAGCACTGATCACTATCCCAAAGGGGGGAGCGCCACATAGAGCTCTTGTGGCTGGAAAGCCCTTCTCTCTGTTCCCCCATCTGAGTGGTCAGCTTGCTAAACAGGGACCGGGATTCCCCTGCCCTCGTCCTCCCCACCTTCTTGTTGCCCAGTGATGCTATGGGGCAGCCCCGAGCATCAGAGTGATGCAAGGGCCTCCTCCACTGCCCAAACCTCTTCCCCTGCCAGGCGCCTTCGAGAAGGACACTGAGGCTCCATATATGGCACGAGTGAATGGCAGGTTATACCACATGCCGTGGTGTCCCATCTGTTATTTTCACCGCCTGCCTCGAACCTTCCACTGCAAAAGCTGTGACATCTGTGTGGAAGTGAGTGTTCCTCCTCCCTGTCCATTCACCAACCCGTCCCCGGGCACCTGGCCAGGACCAGGAACCTCACAACATGAGTGGGCCAGGGGTGGGTAGGAGACCATCTTCCCGAACTGCTTCTAGTGGCATATAGACGTCATCACTTTAGTGTCTGCTCCTGCCCAGGGAGGCTGACCTTGCTGGCACAGGTGCTGACATGCAAAGGGCATCCCCTCTGTGCTGAGCCTGGTGGAGTCAGGGGGAGGAAAAGCAGTGACTGTCCCCTCTCCTGGCTTGCTGATACTAGACCCCCAGCCCTTTAGGCTGACTGCTGCCCTGTCCTGGGAATCTTTGCCTGTATTGGTCTGGGTGTCCCAGTTGGAGGGTTTCCTGGGTTCTGAGTGCATTTCTCTGATGTGCCCACCCTGCTCGGGTTCACAAGTGCAGACAGCTGGTAGGGCAAGGGTGTTTATTTTCATCCTTATCCAGTATCTGAGCAAACAGAGGCCCAGAGTTGTTATATCCTGCTCCAAGTGACACCAGGCAGGTTTTGTCTCTAAAGACCTCACCCAGGACAGGTGACCTGATGAGCCATGGGGTCCTAACTGTGCTCTAACCATGGAAATGCCAGGTTCTCCCTGAGATGGGAACCCGTGTGTAGGGCCAAGAGCAGGTGGCCTAGACGGCTACGTTGGGATGGGGGGGTGATGGGCCTCAGGATTAGGGGGTGATGGAGGCCAGTCGGATCGGGACCCTGAGTCCTCATTCTTCTCTCCTAGGAGTTCGACCACCATTGCAGTTGGGTGAATAACTGTGTGGGGCACCGAAACATCCGGCTCTACCTGCTACTCCTCGTGACCCTGTGCCTCTATCTGGGTACTGTGCTGGCCACCTGGGTGCTTTTCATCATATGCAGGAAGCACATGGCATTTCTGGACCAAACCATGACGTATCCACAGGGTCCCAAGGACCCACACTGGGAAGAGCTGGTGTGGTGGGGAGGGAGGGGCAAACATCGGAAGACGGCGGGGTGACGGGGAAGGGGCTGACGTGGGCGGGGCTAGAGGGAGAAGTCACTTGGGAGGACCTGTGAAGGACATGTGGAAGGCCAGTGGGGTCAGGGACATGGGCGAGGTAGGATGCCCATGGAGTTAAGAATCTAGGGGGGCCACAGAGTAGGGTAATGAAAGTTGAAAAGGGAAAGGTGGGAGGACAGTGTGGTGGAGTGAGATTTCCCTTGGGTGTACTGGACTAACTGTCCAGTCCAGGGAGGGAGAGCTGGTGGGTTGTGCTAGCTGGGGCAGGAGGGAGGGAGGGAGGAGGCGGGTTGAAAGGCGGGGCCAGGGAGGAGCTCTTCCATGGCTTCACTTCTTAGCCTGTGCACAGCATCCTAGTGGCTGTACCCGCTGGGGCCCTCCTGCTCCCTCCCATCCTGCAGTTGTTCATCAAGGCAGTGGCGGTGGGCACTGCCAGGCGACCCTATGAGGATCAGGTAAGTGCACTGAGTGCGTGTGCCCTTGGCTGTGTGGAGACATCTTGCACCTCTGGAATTAGGCACTTTGTGCGCTTTCTCCACTGCCCTTGGCCCTGATGGTGCCTCATGAGTTCTTCCAGACCCACCTCTAAAGATGCAGCTCAGATATCTCTATATGCTGGAGCTTGGTGGCCATTCTCCCTCCTGGGTGCATTGCATTGAAAGCCTACTGTGTGCTGGGTGTGCTAGGTGGCAGTTATTTAAGGGATGGGTGTAGAGGTGAGTAAGTACATCATGCACTTGTGTTGATAAGCAACCAGCAATCAGAATAACACCGGGAAACACCCAGGAACACTCTGAGCGAGGGGTCAGTCCTGAGTGGTGTAGCAGACTGGAAGAAACTGGGAGTTTGCCGAAGCCCACACTGCAGAGTAGAACATGCCACTCTCTGTGTCCTAGGTGTGCTTTTGGAGAGGCAGACAGGAGGGCATTGACTGTGAGAGGTACAATTTTGCAGAAAGGCACAGAAATCCAAAAGTAGGGTATTAACAGAATGATGGTGAAACAGATCTAGTTCAAGCACAAGTTGGCATGGGCAATGAGGTTGACTCCATAGGGGTCAAGATTACAAAGGCCCAGAAATCCAAGCATGGAATTTTGTTTTGAAGAAGTGGAAATCTGGGAACCATGGTAAAATTTTGTAAAAATGTCATTTATTGAGGGGTAATTACAAACAGTAAAATTCACCCTTTTTAGTCAATAGTTAGGGATTTTGACAAATGACATCATGTACTCTCCACCAAGATCAAGTTAACCAGTTTCATTACCCCAGAAAAATCCTTTTATCTCTTGTTGTCATTTTCTCTCCCTGAGTCCTTGTGGTTTTTCTTTTTCCAGAATCATGCATAAATGGCGTTGTGGGCTTTCTAGTCTGGCCTCATTCACTGAGCACGATACATTTGAGATTCATCTATGTAGTTGCTCATATCAGTAGTTTATTGTCTTTTGTTTCTGTGTAGTATTGTATTTCCCTACAGATTTTTTAAACATTCACCAATTGAAGGATTTTTACTTTGCATCTAGTTTTTGGCAGTATTTTTGTTGGTTTATTTTGTTTTGTTTTTGTACCAGGGATTGAACCCAGAGGTGCTTAATCACTGAGCAACAATCCCAGCCTCACCCCACTCCACCCAAAGCACCCTTATGTTTTCTTTTTGAAAAATTTTTTAAATTTTGAAAAAGGGTCTTACTAAGTTGCTTAAGGCCTTGCTAAGTTACTAAGTTACTGAGGCTTTGAACTTGCCACCCTCTTGCCTTAGCCTCCCAAGCCATGACAGGCATGGGGAACTGTGCCCAGCCAGTTTGGGGCAGTTATAAATAAAGCTGCTACAACAACCATTGATGCATAGACATGTGGACATAAGTTTTCATTTCTGTTGGGTAAATTGTTAAGGGTGGCATTGCTGAGTCATAAGGTAAACATGTGGGACTTGTTAGGAAACAACTGTACCATTTCTACTTTCTACCAGTAATGAATGAGAATTCCAGTTGCTCCACATCCTCACTAGCTTTTGACACTGTCATTTGTTACTATTCTTTTTTTGTTTTCAAATTGTAGCCGTCTAATAAATGAGTTCTGGTATCTCATTAGGGCTCCAGTCTGTATTTTCTTAATGCCTAACGATGTTGAGCATATTTTCATGTTTTCTCAGCCTTGGGTATATTGTTGGTGACGTGTTTGCTCCAATCTTTTGCCCATTTAAAAAAAATGTGTTGTTTTCTTATTGAGTTCAGGACTTCTCTGTACTGGATTCAGATCTATGTTTTGCAAATCTTTTCTTGCAATTCATGGCTGGTCATTTCATTTTCTTCATAGCATCTTCCATAGAGCAGGAGTCCTTAGTGTTGCTGTTTTCCCAATCCTGGGGATTGAATCGGGTGCTCGACCACTGAGCTTTTTCCCCAGCATTGGTTGTTGTTCACTCTGAATGGACCTTATGTCCTGTGTGAGGAACAGTTTTATTGCTTTCCTTCCCATCTGTGTGTCTTTATTGCTTTTTCTTCGACCATCCACTAGGTATGATAGGAATGGGCATCTCTGCCATGGGATACCTTTAGTATGGCAATCACTTGACTAAGCTCTTCCAGGAAGACTGGTGGTCAGCATCAGTGAGGGAGGGGAAGCTACAGACCCCAACACAGCTGAAAAGACAGAGGATCCTCTCTGCTCATCACCTCCCATCCTTTTGGTCAGCACCCCACCACTGCCATATGTGGTTCCCTCCCACCTGTGACTCCTGTGCTTGGCCCTTGTTCATCAGCCCTGTGGTCTGCCTGTCTTCTCTCTCCAGCTTCACTCCATCATTGAGTTTGCCTGGCAGCCTTTTCCCTTCCTCTATCCTGTGGTTTTCCAGCCCCAGGTCAGGCCATAGGCCATTGTTCTTCCTCCTCTGCTCAGAATGAGGCCCTTCAAGTCCAGGATCCCCAAGTCTCAAGGGACCTAAATGTGGTCTGCACGCTAAGATTCACCAGACAGGGCTCCTTTCTGTTATTGGAAGCACTAATTTCAGGCACAGATCCCATGCTCCAACTTTCATTCCCACCATACTCCATTCCCTGAATTCAGCTCCTCCTAGAGTTACTTGCTTGGTGGTTGGTGGCAAAGACTCTGGTGAAGACCACATAAGTTCAAATCACAGCTCTAGAACTGACCAGCAGGGAGACCCTTGGGTATGCTACTTAGCCTCTGGTCACTCAATTTCCCTATCTATAAAACAGGGAATTGTGGGTTAATTCATGTAAACCACATGGAACAGTGGTTGGTACCAGAAAGTGCCCTATGTGCTGCTGTTACCATTACTACCATTCCTTCCCGTGGTCATCTACACATGTTTGTGCCTCATCTTAAAAGCCATACAAGTCTCACCCTTAACATCCCAGGCCTCCACTCCACCTGTTGTACCTTCTGGGCCTTATTTCCTGAAAGAGTTGACCTTGTCCACTAGCTCACCCTTCACTTCCTGGGCCAGGTCAGCCCAGCCCTTGCTGTCAGGATGATGCTCTCATTAATGGCCAAAGCCAGCTGACATCTTCAGACTACTCTTTCTGAACTGGACACAGCCTCTGAAGCCAGAAGTAACTGTCTCAGCACTTAACTCTCTGGGCTTCTCCTCTGCATGAACCTGGGTGCTGTGATCTGGGTTGCCTACATGGTTAACATGATACCTCTCTCTGCTCTACCCTGGCCACTCCCCACGGTGCTCAGAGCCTTGTGTTGCAGCTGCCCTCACCACTTAAAGTAGGCTGGCCGTGCTGTTTGCAGGGTGCTTTCCATCCCCAGTGCAGTGACTCTTCTTTATTTTTTTGCTACTCGGTATTGAACCCAGGGGCACTTTACCACTGAGCTATATTCCCAGTCCCTGCTACTTTTCATTGTAAATCAGGGTCTCACTAAGTTGCTGAGGCTGGTCTCAAACCTGCCTCAGTGTCCCAAGTCACTGGGATTACAGGTGTGTGCCACTGTGCCTGGTTGGACAGAAGCGTTTTTGACACCCTAAAATATTTCTGGCTGAGGGTGATTCTCCGTGGTAGAGTGTGTGCTTAGCATGTGCAAGGCCCTGAATTCTTTAATCCCCAGCAACAGAGAAAAGAAATCTGAATGAATGAGTGAACCAACAAGCAGAAGAATCAACATTTGGGGATAGAAGGAAAGAGAGAAAGGAACAGAGAGAAGCCTGGTGCCCTGATCCCCCAAGATAAGGGGAAGAAGGAGAGGCAGCAGGAAGTTGGGCAGAAGATGCCACTGGATTTTGTTCCTGTGGAGTGTGAGGGTGTTTGAGACACAGAATTGGAGCAGGAGCCCCAGGAGTGGAGCCAGTGAGAGAGGCTGGTCTGGGTGCCTCAGAGCTGTTGGATTCTAGTTATGTGTGATAGGGTTCCATGTGGGGGGAGGAAAGTATTCAAATTTACTGCTCAGTTCTTAGAAATTGATTAACTATCATTCCTTAAGCATTTTCTGTACTTTATGTACAATCAGTATTTTCTATACATGATATAGATCTAATCAAACATTCTTTCTCTAAGTTGAAAAATTCTGTGATTTTTTAATACTCTGCCATTAATTAATTAATTTCTTCTGGTATTAGGGCTTGAACCCAGGGGTGCTTTACCACCAAAGTTGCATCCCTCATCCTTGCTATATTTTGTTTTGAGATAGGGTGTCACTAAATTGTTGAGGGCCTTGCTAAGTTGTTGAGGCTGGCCTTGAACGTGCGATCCTCCAGCCTCAGAATCCCAAGTCCCTGGGATGCAAGGTGTGCCCCACTGCACCTGGTGGTATGCTCATTTCTTAAGTGCTGTGAACACCTTAAAGGAGGCAGAACCTCACAGAGGACAATGATTCACGTTGCTTTTTTGGACATATTCCAGTGCTGTTCTGATGTGGAATCATCTTTCCTTCTGGTGGAGAAGAGTGTTTGAAGATGAAAGTCTTCATGTGTAGGCCATGGGAGAATTAGTGTGGATAGAAGTGCTGCTGGGCCACTTGCCATTATAACAGAGTATTTGCTACCTAAAGCTCATGAAGTTGGGGTGAAACTCAACCTGGTCTGGAAGGAGGAGGGGTTGATGCTGACAGATGGACTCAGGGGAAAGAGAAAGTAGAATAAGGGAGAGGAGAAGCCAGTCAGTGTCCAGGGAAGGACATGACCTTTGAGCTTGACCTTTCCTGCTTTGTGTACTGAAGGTCTTCAGCTCAGATTTTCCTGGAAAATCTGATTTTTGACTAGGGAAATATGTCTGGGCATCCCCTGCTGCCACTGGCCTCCCAGATAGTGAAATTCAATGAAGGTAGATTTTTAGAAAACATCGAGAGTTAAGAGAGTAAAGTGGTGACACCATCTTTGGATCAGTTGAGCAGAACAGCACTAGAAAGATCTTAAAAGGTACCTGGAAGGATGAGGTGAGAGGACAGGTGTGGCCAATAGAGACAGAGCAAGGATCCTGCAAAGGGAAGCACA